GCCTGGTGCACGGGTGGGGGCTGGCTGGTTTTCCCTGAAGGGTGTCCCAGATCAGGGTGGGGGTCCCGCTGGGGTGCCTGGCCAGCCTGGGTGAGGGGATGATGGCTGGAAGCAGCTATCTGGGGTTTATTCATTGTCTATAATTGAAACGTTGTAGCCTTGAGCGGAGCTCAGGGCCAGCCAGGGCAGGCAGGAAGCTTGGCTTCCTCCATCGCCGGGGCAACCCAAGCCTCCTGCTTGCTCCAGCGCCGTGGCCGCCGTCATCTTTGTGATGGAGTGAGGGAGTGACGGTTAATTTGCATATTACCCTTTTATTAGATAGGATACTGTAGACAGTATTTTGTGTCCCCCACCCTGGATATACTTGGGGGAGTGAAAGTGAATAAACTGCCATGTAAATTTTACTGATTTTTATAGTCTCAATATATTACCTTGACTTTAAGCCATACATATCCTCCCAAAGTGACCAGTTACTAAATGTTTTCAAATCTGAATAAGTAGCCTAAATATCATTCCTAAGGAATACACTGAAATGGCTTTCCTGGCACCTATTTCAGCCTGCTGTGACTTTATCATTTACTTCCTTTTCTTCTCATATGCTGAGTGGCAAATCTTAAGTAAATAAATATTCATACATTAGGGAATTCCTTACAAATAAATATTCAAGTACATAAAAAATTTACAATATTCATATTCTTTAAAATTATTGCAATAAATTAAACAATTAAATAACTAAATCATTTTCATTAGAAAGTGTCTTTCAATTTTTAAAAAATGCTTCCAACGTAAAGGAATAAACTAAAGAGTCTTACCTAATCGTAATTCTCCAAAATTGCCACATCCAATTTTTTTTCCAACTCTAAAGTTAGGTCCAACCATTAAAACTCCAGAGGAGGAAGACCCAGGTCCTCGAGTGTTGTGTCCCGACCGACCACTAGGTCGTGCCATTCTATCATCTGATTTGTCCTTGTCTTTCTTTTTATTATCCATATCAAGTTTGCGGTACTCCACTTTGAATTCTTTAATCAAGACAAGCACACTGAAGTAGGGTATTGTGAGAATAGGTACATCACTAGGTAACTGTACCAGGCAGGTAATGTTAACATTCAAATTGTAGTAGGTAGTCAATTAACTGGTGCGTGTTCATCCCATTCGTAAGATGTTTCTCAGTTGTCTTTTCAGCAAAACATGTCTTCAAAATTTTCTTTTCAATGATGTGCACTGATCTTGATAGAGAACTAAAATAATTAGAAAAGAAAATTAGTCAACATATAGAATTAAAAAATATATGTTTGGGAAGTTAACACAAGTTCAGGCAATGGATTATTGCTATTTACTGATGCCCACTATAAACCAAACCACAGTTGACTCTTAAATTAACCATTATTCTTTATTTCTATAAAGGATATACAGAGAGTTCACAAAAACAAAACAAAGAAATTAGGGATTCAGTTACTTCTTAAAATTAAAAAAGTAACAAAAATGTATTGAGTATTTAATAAGCCAATATACATTCACTAACCTAGACTTTCCAACTTAAAATCACTTCAATTAAAAAAAAAACACTATAAAAATTCCAATAAGTTACTATAAGATTTTCAATTTAAAAGCAGAAAAAGAGAATACTTTGCAAATTGGTGAAAGGTCTTAATAAAAATATCTTTCACGTGCTCAGACACTTAATTTCCAAAGTCTTCATCAAATACACATTCTCATTTGATCTTCATTTATCCAAATATTTATTACCCACCAGGTGTACAAGGAAATGGTATTCAGAATTGATAATACAAAGATCACTCTTGCTACCTATCAAGAAAAAGAATTAATTCTTATGTAACATCTGAACTAGGCCTTAAAAAAATAAGTATAATTTGGCAAGGTTAAGAATTGTTGGCAGTCATCAACCTAATGAGGTAGAGAAGGAAGGTTTTTAATTTTCTAATATACTGATGAAAACACTAAAGCTCAAAGAAAAATTTCAAAGCTTTTGGGGACTTCTGCCCTATTCATGTTCTCTAGGAATTTCACCCATCAACCATATCTCGATTCTGCAGTAAATCTGCAAGCTTAAATGTGCCTATTTTTGCTTGAACAATTTGATTCCTATTATTTGCAATTAAAGACACTTCGACTTCAATAGATACTCACTAATATAGAAACTAGGATCAATATCAAGGCCTTTTTATTCCTATTTTGTTATATAATGCAATTATAACAAGGGTTTAAACAAAAAATATTTTCTGATTTTTAGCAACCCCCCCCAAATATGCAATTAGTCCTAACATCCAATCTATTTATTAAAAAAAAAATATATTATATTTACCATACTCTATTTTGCAGGTGAAACTGTAAGCATCTGTTTGGTATATATAAAACAGAATTGAGTTTTACATATACATACTGTTTATTTTGTTTTCTGCTATAATGGAGTAACTGGATACTGAACTTCCCTTCCTGCTATAACTATAAAACTGGACAAAAACATATGAAGCACTTGCTTTCAAGCATTGGATACTAGGCAGGGAAGACTGGTCTTTGAAAAAAGAGAAACAGGAAAGGTGGGTCTCACCTTCGCCCAAGCTCTGTCTAAGGCAGTGGTTCTCAACCTTCCTAATGCCATGACCCTTTAATACAGTTCCTCATGTTGTGGTGACCCCCAATTTCATTGTTACAAATTGAACATAATTAAAGCATAGTGATTAATCACAAAAACAATATGTAATTATATATGTGTTTTCCGATGGTCTTAGGCGACCCCTGTGAAAGGGTCGTTTGACCCCCAAAGGGGTCGTGACCCACAGGTTGAGAACCGCTGGTCTAAGGACAATTATCTGACTACAGCCCAGGCAGGTGAAGCTCAGGCAGCAAACAGTGATCACAGATCAGTGTTTGGGGATGTTGAAGTAAGTGGAATTTGTAGGACATGATGCTGAAGATGAGGCAGTTGTGCAGTTTCGGGGCTAGGGAATGGTAAGGCAGACGGCTAGGCTACATATGTGAGGGGCAATATTCTGAAATACCTAGCAGGCAATGGCTACTAAAGGGACAAATGAATAACAGAGACACTAACAGCTGCACAGTGCTGGAAGACCTTAAAGTTCCTGTCTAGTCATGGAGGAACCTCATTAATATCCCAGGAATTCAGATGAGACACCACAAAGACCAGGTCTTAAGAGTAAAGACCATAACCCAGAGGAGTGATTTTCACCCTTTTTATCTCATGGCACACATAAACTTAATTACTAAAATTCTGCGGCACACCAAAAAATATGTTTTTTGCCGATCTGACAAAAAAAAAGTATAATTTTGATTTTCATTCACACCAGATGGCTATTGTTGTGTTGGCTATTGTCATTTTTTTATTTGACAATCTAAGGGAAAAGAGGTCAGTGCCCCTGACTAAACAGTCAAGTATTAAATGTTTTAAAAATTCTTGTGCACACTGGCTGAAAATTGCTGACCTAGAGAAAGAACTACTATAGACTGTTCCAACTGAAGCCTAAAAGCAAGCCTAGACAAGATTAAGAATAGCTCCAATTAAATTAACTGCATTCAGAACATAATTCAACATACTTTTTTAAAATGTTATTTTCCTTTTTATTGAACTTAATGTAGTTCTATTAGTTAACAAAATTATATAGGTTTCTGGTACACAATTCCACAACACATCATCTGTACACTGTATTGTGTGTTCACCACCCCAAGTCAAGTCTCCTTCCATCTCATTCATCCCCTTCTATACACTCCTCTTCCTCCACCTCCCTCTATTTCCTTCCACCCCCTTCTCCTGCCCCCAGCAATCACCACACTGTTATTTGTGCCCAAGAGCTTTTCCTTTTTTTCCTTTTTTTCTGAATTCCTCCACCCCACAACCCAACCCCACAACCCACCCCACCCCTCAGAGTTGTCAGCCTGCTATCTGTGAGTCTGTCTTTATTTTGCTTGTTAGTTCATTTTGTGCATCAGAATCAGAACATATTTCAACATACTTGAAAAGACAAAAAATCAAGACTCTAAACCATGTTGAATTCATAATGTCCACATACAGTTAAAAAGTACCAGACATGCAAATAAGCAGTGAGTAGTACCCACAACTGGGAAACAAAGAAAACAGATTCCAAGATGACTCTGATATTAAAATTAGAAAACAGGATTTTAAAACTATTAAATAGTTGTTAAAGTCCTATTAAATTGAAAAAATGGAATGGGGCAGAACTCATTAGGATATCATCTATGAGTGAAGAAGAATAATCAAAGTATATACAGTTGTCCCTTGAACAACATGAGTGGTTGGGGGTGCCAAATATCTCTGAATAACTACAGTCAGCCCTCCACCTGTGCAGAGAAATTGAACTACAAGGGTCAATTGAAAAAAAAATCCACCTGCATTATTCAAGGGGTCAATTGTACTAATTAGTGAGAAATGAAGCTGTTTCCTACTTCACTCCATCTAGTTCACCACATTCAGGAAACTGTCCATAAACTTACTAAAAGATTTTTCGTTTTTTAAATATTTTTAACAAATCATATTTTTATTAAAATATTTTCTTAAGAATCTCAAATAACGCTAATACTTTCCTTATGATAGTACCTTCAAATAATATTAGAATTGCCTAGACCTGGAGAGCATTATGCTGAGCAAAATAAGCCAGTCAGAGAGAGATAAGTATCACATGATCTCACTCAAATGTGGAATCTAGTGAAAAAAATAAACTAATTATCGAAAATAGACCCAGTGTCACAGAAGCATGAAAAGACTGTTGAACCTCAGAGGGAAGGCAGGGTAAGGTGGGTGGGAAGAGATCAACTAATGAACTTGTATGCATATATGCATAACCCATGGACACAGACAATGGGGTGGTGAGGGCCTGGGGGAGGGGAGAGCAGGCTGGAAGAGGTTAATAGAGGAAAAAGGAGGACCTATGTAATACTTTCAACAATAAAGAATTTTTTAAAAAACACACAGAATTGCCTTCAAGTTTGTCTACAGCCATGGTCAGCAAACTCCAGCCAAACTTCAGGCTAAATCCAGCCTGTTGCCTATTTTGTACAAGCTGCAAACTAAGAATGGTCTTTACATTTTTATATGGTTGGGGAAATAAAAGGATTATAACATTTTGCGACATATGAAAATTATATAAAATTCAAAATTTTAGTGTTCATAGATAAATTTTTATGAAGATGAATCCATGCTAATTTGTTTATGTATTGTAATGGCTGCATTATGCTGTAAGAGAACAGTTGAGTAGTTGCGAGAGATCCTATGTGGCACTCATCATTTCACACTGCTGCCCAGCATACCACAAACTGCAGTGACTATCATGCTTTTAAACGGAGTGATTATGTATTTCAAATTAGATGGCAAAGTGTTGTGTTTATTATATAATGACACTACACTAAAAAATACAATATACTTGGACTCAAAAGTATTAGTATTCTATTGTTGCATAACAAATTATCAAAAACTCAGCAGCAATACACATTTATTAGCTCACAGTTTCAATGGATCAGAAGTCTGGATATGGCTCAGCTGAGTCATTTGCTTGAGTTTTCACAGGCTTCATTCATGGTATCAGCTAGGCTAGGCTGCATTCTCATCTGGGGACTGAAGTTGGAAAGAATCCTCTTGCATGTTCCTACAGATTGTGGGCAGAATTCATAACCTTGCAGTGTAAGACTGAGGGGCTCAGCTTTTTGCTAGCTCTCCAGATGGAAGCCACCCCTCAGGTCCTACAGGGTACCTGCAGTTGCTAGCAGCTGCCTACAGTTCCTTGCCACAAGGGTTTCTCTGACATGGACACTTACTTCTTCAAGCCCCCAAGAAGAAACTCTGGCTCCAACCTTCTAAGAGTAACTCTTATATAAGGTAACATAACCTTCCCTCATACCTAAGTCCCAATCTTTGAACCCTTCTCCCAGATCTTGGGATCTTTGCTATCCAGACCTCTTTAATGCTGCCTAATACTAGAAAGAGCACAGGATTAGAAAAAAAGGAGTCTTGGAATCCCAAATAGTTATAAAACTTTAGACAAGGTTTAATCTGTCTAATCTTATTTTAGTGGTTGTAAAACAGGAGGATTAGACCAGGAGGTTTCTAAAGATATTCTTTTATTATGCACAGTATGATAATTACTTATAGTATCTAATGACAAGGGCTCTTATTTTATGTAACTGTGATCTTTGAACCTAGCACACTGTTGGGCACTTAGGTCAGTCAACAGCTATTGTAGATTCATAAATGAGTTATTTCCATCTCTAAACATTTCTAGGCTTCAGCTGCATGATTTCTATCTAAAACCCTCCCAGTTACATATCATCAGACCCCATAACAGGCTCTTCATTCACCTGAAGCACATCATCAAACCCCACATATGCCAACCAAAGTGCTACAAGCGTTCCTAAGTCACTTTCTGGATGAGATGGCACTCCCTTGCCTGAATTATTCTTCTAATGCTGTCTGTATTTCTGCCTTCTGTATTGATTCATCCTAATGCCAAAGAAAACCCAGTTCTAAAAACTAGATATTCTTTTAGCTATAGCTGAAACCAGTAACCTCAGAGTCACAAATCCAAATGCAAAGCAGATAATATAAATGAATGAAACAAGCAAAGTGTAAGACAATAAGGAATATTGGACCCTAGCCGGTTTTGCTCAGTGGATAGAGCTACGGCCTGCAGACCGAAGGGTCCCAGGTTCTATTCTGGTCAAGGGCACATGCCCAGGTTGTGGGCTTTATCCCCAAAGGAAAAAAAAAATCAATGATTCTCTCACATCATTGATGTTTCTATCACTCTCTCCCTCTCCCTTCCTCTCTAAAATCATTGAAAATATATTTTTAAAAATAAAAAGGAATATTGGGAGCTATGGCAAGCTGGAAAGCAATTACCCCATTTTAAAAGGGGCAGACACTACTCAGCCGTAAACAACTGTTACCATTCAAGAATACTAGATATTCTAATTTTTCAATAAAATCCAGTAACCTAGATTTTTTATTTAAATTCTCTTCAGTTGCCCTTTGCTGAGCACTTACTCTGCTAAGTACTTAAACAGATTAGCTCATCAATTCTCACAATCATAAGATACTATTACAATCCCTAATTTTACCAATAAAAACCCTAAAATTTAGAGAAATTACACTACTTGACCAGCATCATAAAATTAGGAAGTGCTGTAAAAAGAATATAACTACAAAGAATCGTATTCCTGAGGTCATATTCTTATCCACTTTACCTCTATTATTTTTCTTGCTAATTCTGTGACCTCCCAAAGTCTGGTCTGTGCTTGTCTATCTAGATCTGCAGTGTAGGTTAGCTCGCCCTTGCCAGCCTATACTGTAAGTATATACAACACCTCAATGATGCCAGCCTATACTATAAGTGTATACAACACCTCAATGCTGCCTAATTTGAACCAACCTGAGGGTGGAGTGGGGGGACCCACCAGTCAATAACCCCCATTCATGTACACAGGTTTCAAGACATGTATGGACAGAAAGACTATATATAGACACAGCAAAAAAAAGACAAATCATTAATCTACAAAATTGCAAGGTGTTCTTACTATGATATACTCTTCTGTGGCAATATTCGATTTTTATCAGTAACTTGGTATATCTATTATCAATAGGAGACTTAGAGGGAGATAAGAAATATTAACAAACTGTAGGAAGATGGAAGAAAAGAAGCATGTACTGACAGATAAAACAATGAAGGAAATTAATGCCCAAACTAAGTGCCAGAGAAGACCACAGCTGAGTAAGCCAGACAGAAGTCCAGAAAGGCTTCCTAAAGGAAATAGGTGAAATGGTAAGCAGCAGTGAAAAGTGGAAGGGAAGCTATGTAAAAGAAAAAAACAAAAACAAATCTCTAAAGAAACCAAAGGAAGTTCCAAAGGGAAATGGGGAGGAGGGGAGGAGTGGGGAAAGAGAATATATTGGCATCAGAAAGTAAAACCTGTCCCGATCTGGCATTTTGAAAAACTCCTTGCTTAAAGACTGGTTCCCTGAGTGCTCACCCTATGAACTGACTGGTCAATAAGCACCATCATGTACACAGGGCTCCAAGAGATTGATTAAAAAAAAGATAGCAAGAAAATCAAAACCACTTACCCAGAAATATTAACCTATCCCATCATTCACACACATGAACTGACAATCAAGAATCCATTCACAAACATGAACTGACAATCAAGAATCACTAGATGAGTAAAAAAAGCTAATAATGAAAGAAAAATAACCAAAAAAAAGTAAAAAAAAAAATCTGAAGGAAGCAGATCATTCAAAAATCAGAAGAGAACAAAAATGAAAACCATTAGATCTTCAGAGGCTTTGCAGAAGAACAATAATAAATACATAGGCTAAAAAAGATAATGCCTTAAATGATAACCAAAAATAAAATGGGGCAACAATCCTAATACGTAAAGTAAAAATACAAGAAACAAAAAAATAAAGGAAAAAAGACAGAAAGAAGACATTAAATACCTCCAACTTTCAACTAATAATAGAAATTAATAGAGAGGACAAAGAAAATTTAGGTAAAGAAATTTTCCTGAGCTAGAGAAAAAGGGGCCCAGAGAGTGCTAATCAAGAAAGAAGAGTAACACAAAAATACTACTTCATTCTACTACAAATCCTAATAGTGAAAGAATGGTTAATTGATTTTCAGCTTTTAGAATCCTTATTACACCCCACAAATGCAAGATATATGTGATCGAAGAGAATATAATTTTTTTCAACCTTGACAGTGTTAAAATAACACTACAATTGACAGACACTCAGCTGATAAGTGGGAATAGAAGAGGTAGAGGAAGAATAGGGAGAGATAAGAATATCTGTACCTTACAAAGTGCAAAGTTAAGAGATAACATAAAATTTGCTAGAATGAAAAATAGAGATGTAAGAACATTATTTCAAGTGTCAAAACTAAGCAATAGATGAAGTGAACATAACTACCCAAACATTTAAAGACTGAAGGGGAAGTGGGAGTGAGTTAAAATCTCAGTACTCTTAGGTATAGAATTAAAATATAATGCATCTACAAACAGAAAATTTTACTTCTCCCTTTCCAATCTGGATACCTTTTATTTCTTTTTCTTGCCTAACTGAACTGGCTAGAACTCCAGTACTGTGATGAAAGTGGTGAGAGTAGGAATCCTTGTCTTATTCCTGATTTTAGAGGAAAAGCTTTCAATTTTTGCCATTGAGTATGATGTTAGCTGTGGGCTTGTCATAGACGGCCTTTATTTTGTTGAGATACATTCCTTCCATAGTTAATATGTTGAAAGTTTTATCATGAAAAGATGTTTTTATCTTTTAAAAAATACAAATACTGGAGATATGAGAGAAGAGGCTATTACTTATATATATTTCAGTATTATTTTAATATTTTACTTTATATAGGCATTAATTTAATAAAATTACTAATTTTATTAACAAACTAATTTTTATCCTAAAATAAATTTAAATAAGCACTTTCAAACCTTGGTAAGAATATTTCAAATGATTAAAAAATAAAATAAGTGACTCTACAAATCAAAGTTTTTGTTTTGGTTTGCTTTGTTTTGCTTTGCATTGCTTTGCTTTGCTTGGAATGAAAATAAAGAGTCACCAATACTGGAGACAGTTGTGGAGTTCTTAAGCTGAAATCCATCGATCTCCTGAGCATTTTTCTTAAGAGAAAATCCAACTCCTACCGGGTAGCTCAGGTAGCTCAGTTGGTTAGAGCATCTTAAATTGTGGGTTCAATCACTGTTCAGGGCATATACAAGAATCAACCAATGAATGCATAAATAAGTGGAACAACAAATCGATGTTTCTGTTCTCTCTCTCTCTCTCTCTCTCTCTCTCTCCCCCCCTCCCCATCCCATCTCTTTTTAAAGATTAATAAACTAAAAAAAAATTTTTAAGAGAAAATCCATAGCTTTCAACCAATTACCAAATATGACCCTAAAAAAGTTAAGAACTACTGAAATGCATATTGTTATTTTATTTTCTCACTGAATTACTTTGAAACAATCTAAGTACACGATCTATTCTAAAAATTAAATATCTGTACTTTACTTAAAAGCCAACAACATTATAGAAAAGTATTTAGGGCAGCTTACAATAGGCGCGCGCGCGCGCGCGCGCACACACACACACACACACACACACACTACAAAAGGACTGAGAAATAAGAAAGAAAGTAAAATGTTAGAAATAAACTATGTAATACTAACTTACAAAATGCAGTTCAATACCTATACTTAATAAATTTATTTTTCTGCTTTCTAATTGTCAAGCAAAAAAACAACCAGAAATATAAGTAGATACAAGATTCAGTGTCTATTAAAATACCAGTTGCTAAAAAGCTCACAAATAATCCTAGTATTTATTGTATTATACCTACAGTTGCATTCAATAGAAATTATTACAAATTTTTCAGAAGCTTTAAATTCAAAACTTAAAAAAAAAGAAAGTGACAAAATACAGCTTTAAAACTTAAAAATCAGGCATCCACAGAAATAAAAACTATTGAGAGAAGAAAGTTTCATAGAAATATGCCAGGCTTATAATTTCTTATAACACAAAAAAATTACTTATATGACTTAAAG